AGATAGCAATAAGGAATAATGTCAGATTAAAGATTGTTTTAAATTCTTTAATGCCCTAAAAAAATAAAATTATTTTGTTTATGTTTCGGATACGAAATTAAAGTTAGCAGATATTGGCGTCGATAGACCTTAATGAGAAATATGCTTTTTCTTTCAAAAGAATAGTTGAACCTTCTTTACAAAGTAGGATTTAGTGTCTGAGTCAGTCTAAAGCACACCGGGCTATACGGTCTTTCCCCATACCAGTGGCGTAGCTAAGGGGAGGCGAGGATATAGATATGAAAATGCTCGAAATAAAATAATATGTATCAACACAGTAATTTTCTCTCTTCCTTTAACAGTGACACCATTAAAATTTCTCCGTAAATATGAAAGGATCAATTGAAAATAGGTAGATAAAATTTGTCAAAATTAAAATTATTCAATGAAACATGTCGCAAATATATATATATATATATATATATATATATATATATATATATATATATACACACAGTGTAACCCGGATATAAGAGACCCGAATATAAGAGAAACCCGAATATAAGAGAGATTTTCTCTGGTCCCAAATTAGAGCCTGTGTTAATGTATATAAAATAGACCAAACCCGGATATAAGAGATTCTTCTCCGGTCCCGACAACTCTCTTATATCCAGGTTACACTGTATATATATATATTCGAAAATTATAACATACATATGTTATAAAATAGCCTTTTTGTTTCAACACTTCTGGTGTCTTATCAAGTGATGGTGTGAGATTGTGTCCAACACCATCACAGAAGTTTTGAAAGAAAATGGCTATTTTTGTAGTGATTTTATAACATATTAATGTTATAATTTTCGAATAGATTATATTTGCTCTACTCTGTATTGAGCACTCTTTTAAGAATAGTATTTTTTTTTTTTTTTTGGTTATTGGAATTTATTCCGTATACACCATTCTATACTATATATATATATATATATATATATATATATATATATATGATTAAATAAATTACAAACATTATGTCTGCTTATTTTTAGCATAATCCTTTCATATTCACGAATATTTTTTCCGTGTATTACAATTAAATGAGGTAAGAAATGCACTGCAAGATTGAAAATCCCTTTTATTTCCCAAGTACTTTCCATCACTTTCTGCGATCATCATATGGATTGCAACTGGTAAGGCAAAAACTATGTATGTCTATCCATTATTGAATGTTTCTTTTTTGCGTTTATATGCAACGGCTGACAGTTATGCTTTTTTCATTAGAACAGGGGTCGACAACCTTTTGCTAACTATGTTAGGGTTTTAAATTTACAATATCTTTTATATAGTAATATATAGTATATATACTTTAGTATATAATAATATTGAAACAGCTAAATATCTTCTTTGCGTTGTAGTAGTTATTGGTTCGGACTTCGTAATGTCATTTGCGGCTTCGTGCCACTGGAAATTGCTTGGCGTGCCACGTGGCGCACGCGTGCCGTATGTTGCCGACCCCAGCATTTGAAAGTGAAAAATATCGAATATTATGTAACTTTTCTTTTATATTAGAACGTCATGGTCAAGCACACATTAAAGCGTGAAAACTGTTCTTTTTATAGGCATTTTAGAAAATTATTACAGTATTCGTTGCTGATTCTATTCAGTGTCGGCTTTAATTTTTAATGTAGATCGCTTTGAAGATCTGTAGTTTTAATTTGTTATATCTTGGTGTAGGATAGTTGTGCTGTCAATCAGTATGACCAAACATGTGTACAGTAAAACATTTTGATAATGTAGCTGTCGTATATCCAACATATATATTTGTTTTTCTGTCGGAAATACATTCTCCCAAGGCACATTTGAATTGATATATAATGTTGGTTTTATGTAATACACTATTTTTACATATTAAACATTTTGGAGGATGGGTAATTATCTCATGCTGTTACATGATTTGAACAATTTTGCTGTTCCACCAGGTATATATATATATATATATATATATATATATATATATATATATATATATATATATATATAATAAATAGGTCAATGTCTGATCCTTACCCCCTTCCTCTCTATAAAGTATTGTAATAAAAATAAATTTAAAAGCATTACCATCTCTCCCTTCCCTCTCAAATTACGAACATGTCTGTTACACAATCTCTCACCCCTCCCTATATCACCTTACATCAGCTGAATACTACCCTCCAAAAGTGTAAGTTTAAATTCAATTTTTTCATACTTGGAAGTGAGTTGTGATGATCCAGGGAACAAGAAAATCCCTGGAGAAATAAATTATAACCTTATGGAACCTTAAAGTTGTCTGATTTTCTTTAAATTAAAAAACAACACACACACACACACATATATATATATATATATATATATATATATATATATATATATATATATATATATGTATGTATATTAAGTGTGCAACTTAAGTTTCGCTGAATTACAGCATGTCGGGCACAAGGTTTATGTTACTAAAAGTAATGAAATGGCTTATGGGAGAAACGCTGCTAAAATTGGACAAAAAGATCAGTAAATGCGATGCAGTTGAGTTACATTTAAAAAAAAAAAGGAGAAAGTTTGTAAAAAAAAATGAAAGAAGAAAAAGAAGGATACAAATTAAAAAAAATCAACAAAGACGTTGTTGTCGCATAGCGAAGGGAGTTAAAGGGAGGTAAGTTGGTAAGATACTTAAGTCTTAATGAGGCAAAAAATATTATAAGGAAAGAAATAAAAAAAAGGTAAATATAACTAATTATAATACACATGGAAAAATAAATAAATAAATATGAGGAAATAAGGGGAAAAGAAATATAAAATATAAGGGAATTAAATAATTGGCTGTAATAAATAAATATATATAAGGAAATTAAAAAGTATAAAAATAAAGATAATAAATATGAGGAAAATGATAAAAATAATTAAATATATAAGGAAATTATTAAAATAATGCTAGAGACGTTGTTATAAGTTTCTCATGATAACATAAACAGGTTAGAGTTAAGCAAGTTGTTAAACTATATATATATATATATATATATATATATATATATATATATATATTATAGATTAACTGATTTAAAAATATATGGTTCGTTCGCTACACAGGATTTACCATGTTTCAGAAACCGAAGCTAAAAACTTAAAATTTAGTTATATAATTAAATTAAAAGCATTAATAATAATAATAATAATAATAATAATAATAATAATAATAATAATAATTAAATTTGAAGTTTTTAGCTTCGGTTTTTTGAAACATGGTAATTCCTGTGTAACGATGGAACCATATTTTTAAATCAGTTAATTTATAATATTTATTCTCTGTAAATTTACATTGAGCACTGTTGTGTAAAATAAAAATATCAATAAGAACACCAGATTATATATCTTACTGTTCTTTCTTTTTACAAATATATATATATATATATATATATATATATATATATATATAAAACTAATAGCGGAATAACTGAAATGATAAAATGTGAAAACTCCTTGTTATATGTACGCTGGTTTGAAAGGTCTTCTTCAAATATTTCGTCTATGCAATCTTCTCTATCTCGGGGCAGAGTATGAAATACAACAAACGCCGGTTTTAATTCTAAACCGAGAAATCCTGACGATACAGAGGTGCTTCGGATTAAATTTTAATTTTTTAATTTTTACCATCCGATATAACGAGATGCATAACCTAGTCGCTGAATATAGAATAGACAGCTCTAGAGGTAGTTTCGCATAACACCACATTGCTACAAAACCAAACCATCAACCTGAAAACTCTACTCACGTCCTGAGAAGATATATATATATATATATATATATATATATATATATATATATATATATATATATATATATATGTTGAAACTTGACTAATTGTTGAAACTTGACTAATGCATGGAATAATAATGCAACACAAAATGTACTTAGAACAAAATGTATTGAAACAAGAAAGTGTACACAATATTTACATATAGTCTTTTGTATATTCCTGGTAAGACCGTTCCTGGAGAATGTGTTGACTGAGTCGCAGTCGGGCAGAGTCTCTGGTTGAATCTCTTGATTCCTCCCTCTCTTCCCGGTACCAACCATATTTATATGGTCGGTACTCCACTATGCAAATTAGGTGGATCCTACCACAACAATATATATATATATATATATATATATAAAGGAAGACAATAGAAGAAGTTACTAATTTAGAACCTAAAAACACGAGTCATTTTGTTAAATCGCCTCATCAGATCGAGATTTTCATAGGGATGTCATGGATGGCGCCAAAACCGTTCAGAATTATCTAAACTGTCAGCTGTATACAACCACTTTCCAATATCAATGTTTAAAAATGGCTCTGAGCGAGTGAAGCCCGTGGGCCTTGGTGAAGATTTCACTTCTTCGAATCTGATGGACTCTCTCAAATAACAGAAATCACATCACTAGACCTTTAACAGCAGCAACAGCTAAAATGAATATCACATGTAACCGGAAGAGAAAATAATCAAGATATTGATATTCCGCACTACTTCAAACAAAAGGTCAGGAAGGAAACCTCCATCAATCCTGGAAAGAGCGATAACAGCTACTGGACTTGAGAAATCTATTTTCCTGAAAAATTGTTTTAAGGGAAAGATTTTATGAATTTCAAACGATAATTGTACAAGCTTCTGGGTCAAGAGTCAAACATTATTTAGTGTAAAGAAAGACTACAGAAAGTTATGGAGGGCCATAATCGCCGACGTTCTGATAAGATGAGCGAAAATGTTATTAATTTAGAACCTAAAAACTCGAGTCATTTTCTTAAATAGCCTCGTTAGATGGAAACGTTCATATGGATGTCATGCAGGACAATTCGGATGCGACACATTTGGGTGATTATGTCTTTGATTCATGATTGTTCCAGCGCATTTGCGTGCAAGTGAAGCTAAACGAACCCGATTGGAATTAGAACTCGGATCTTCGATTTCTTATTCTGAACCTATATCCATTACTCCACCCGCACACCCAAGCTTACAGCACTTGGTATTTCCAAGCGGTCACTCATCTTAATACTGATCAGGCTCGACGTTGCTTAACTTTGCTGATCGGGCGAGAACCGGTGTTTCAACGTGAGACGACTATAAACCAAATGACGGTTCATCCACCTTAAATGACCAAAGCAGTGGTTCTATCCCAGAAGGTTGAGGCCACCAGTGACAAAACTGGAGAGAAATGAAGATTAGGAGAACATAAAGTACAAAGAAACTGATGCTAATAATCACAAAATGAAAGCTGAACTTTCTAGAACGTAATGAGGAAGCAAGGCTTAGGGAAATTAACACTCACGGGGCATAGTGAAGACAATTGACGTAGAAAGTAACAACGAATAATTTACCTGTGTTTCAGTGAATGAATGACAGAATAAGAACCGCGAAGTCAAAAAACGTCAAGAGTTTCTAAAAAATAAAAGACAGGAAGTTGTGGAGAGCAATGAACGCACATCCCGAAAAGACATGACATGAAAGAAGAGTATTTAACTGATAAACATCATCATATGAACAAAATCAATTAAGTGTGACTCGTTTTTTTAGTAGAATATTGATTGCCTGCTAGCAATTTTGCTGACATCAAACATTCCAAAATATTCCATTGCGAAAGTTCGTCCAATACACGGAGCACTCACGGTAGAGGGTTACTCAATGTTGAATAGCCCTGAAATGTATGTCTCCTAGATTATAAGATTACTAAATTAACACAGAGTTACTTTTCTTGAATAGTATACATTTTGGTCTGAAAACATCAATCAGCAAAGTGACAAAGTTTAGTTCGTATTCATACTACACAAATACATATATGAAAATTTCATACTACACAAATACATACAGGTAATTTCTGATGGGTTTTGACTTCAATGTTCACTTATATATATATATATATATATATATATATATATATAGTGTCATCCACTGTATCACAGGTCTTCAGGGCGGCTAGACGTCTGATTGCTTCAAACCGGGATCGAAACCCGACCGATTTGGTATCAGTCAGAGATTCTACTCCTAGGCTATCATCGCACGGTAGAGAGGAAGGGAAACATTTTCTATATATATATTGTATATATATATATATATATATATATATATATATATATATATATATATATATATATATATATATATATATATATATATATATATATATATATATATATATATATATATATATATATATATATATATATATATATATATATATAAAGAATTAATGGTTTTAATCCTATATTGTTATTACGTCAAACGTTATTAAAGATAATATATATATATATATATATATATATATATATATATATATATATAAAGAATTAATGGTTTTAATCCTATATTGTTATTACGTTAAACGTTATTAAAGATTGGTATTTGAAATAGACGCCATTATTTTATTTACTAAAAAGTGTGTATTGCGTCTATCGGCCTGTGCACTTGAAAAATCTTAATGAAGAAAACGTGTTCTCCGTTTGATCCGGCGTAGTTTAAGTCAATGATATTTTATGGCGACAGTGTTTTCACAGAATAAACAAGATTTTTTAAACTCAAATATTTCTACTGTGCTTAAAATGTAAAAATATCATTTATACCAGATTTTATTCAGCTTTCCGGTAGCTGAAAAAAAATTACCATAAAATTAAGTATCATACTTTTTTTTTTTTATTCTGGTGTCAAATTTTATCCCTGGAATTTTATTTTTTTCGCTGCCAATTCATTTTTTCATTGAAATTTCACATTTTTGCTGAAATTTCACTTTTATGCTGAAACCTTACTTTTTTGCTGAAATTTCACTTTTTTGCTGAAATTAGATCCGCAATTTTCACCTTCAGATTTGTTAAACATATACATTCAGAAAAAATAATGATGAAAAATATTGAGTAATCTAATGAAATATTAAAACAGCAAGCAAGCCTGATGTCTTATTCCTTGTGTTTGGCGATGTTCATCGGTGTATTCGGCATGGACGTATGAAATTCTAAGTCAAATCAAAAGATTTAAACTTTCTGTAATAATATCTGGTTGCACATACGATAAAGCTTGAATAAATTGTAATTTATGTCACCTAGATTATACAATATCCCCTGTCTTAAACAGTACAACTCTTGATTATTTTATCAAATTCGAATATCCAGATTAAAATCTAGTCAAAACAAATATATGAAGTTATCTCCCCTACATTTAAAAACTTACACTCAGAGTTACCTCCCTTGAATAGCATTGATGTTCTCAATAAAAAAAAATAAGGATAATAAATAATTTACTTAATTTCGTGATATAAAATTAATTTTCCTTCCTTTATTTATAATTCACTTTTGACAATGAGACTTTTCATGATGGCATATATGTTTTGAGTATAGTTAAACGTTCTTTTTTTGTTTACTGGCTTGATAGAGAACGAGATATAAGTAATTAGAGAGAAAGAGCGATGACTAGATTGATAGAGAGAAAAACAGACAGGTACAGATAGATTGATAGAGGCACTGAAACGTCGTCTCGGCACGGCAGTGAAACACAGAAACTAGCATCCAACTGTATAAACCTGTGGACGATTAATTAAATCAGGTACTGTACGGCTGAATAAAAAAAAAAAAAAAGCACGATTGGAACAGAACCATGGTCTCCCGAGACAGACGAATGACAGTGAATGGTCAAGTTTTGCTGATAAATCGCCACTGTGTAATCAGATCGATCCTCACTAGGTGCCACATATTTGCTGTCTTGAGCCCAAACTGCAACTTATAAATTAAATAACTACAAACAATCTTTACCAAGGCTGCATGATGTCTGTCAGTTTAAAAACATAAGCTAATCACTATTCTTGGCTAATTTCTATATTCACCCATTTAAACGCCAGATCCCAATGGTGAGTATTCATAACTCATAAACGCAGCAAATTTAAAACACACACACACACACACACACACACACACACACACACACACATATATATATATATATATATATATATATATATATATATATATTATAAATTAATTGATTTAAAATGGTTTTGCCGCTACACAGTTCTAACCATGTTTCAAAAATGGAAGCTAAAAGCCACAAATTCGTGGCTTTTTAGCTTCCATTTTTGAAACAATTAAAACTGTAAAAAAATCATTTTAAATCAATTAATTTATAATATTAATGTCTATGTAAATTTACATTGAGCACTATTTTGTAAAAAAAAATATCTATAAGAACACCGGATTATATATCTTACTGATCTTTCTTTTATTTAAATATATATATATATATATATATATATATATATATATATATTGTAATAAAAAAGAAAGAACAGTAAGATATACAATCCGGTGTTCTTATGATATTTTTATTTTTACAAAACAGTGCTCAATGTAAATTTACAGTGCATAAATATTATAAATTAACTGATATAAAAATATGGTTCCATCGCTACACGGGTATTACCATGTTTCAAAAACCGAAACTAAAAACTTCAAATTTAATTATATAATTAAATTAAAAGCATTAATTCTGTTTCATCATCAAGCGAGTTTTGGAATAACTTATTTTTAAATTTACTGAGTTTTAAACGCACATACAATTCATAATTTTTTTCTTTCCAAGGATACAGTGAAATCCAATCATTTAGACAGGGGCGGTAGCGTGTTCATTTTTATTAACTATTGTTGTATCAATTATGAGTTACGTTCGAAAAAGAGGTTAAGTCTAGGTAGGGTAGGGGTGTATTTTTCAACGAATTTTGACATTCGTTCAACGCATGTCGTCTATTTTTTTATTATTTTTTTTTATCAACGAGAAAAGGTTTTTCGGCACTTTTTTCCTTTGAATTCGTACTTGTATACATGAAGATTTTTATAAAAGGGATATTTGGGTTAGAATACGTTTTGTTGAACTACAATTTTAACATATTATTTTTACTCTAAATTACTAATAGACTATATTTCTTTTTAAAACAAATAAATGTAATAGAATTACTTAAATTATTTTTAAAAATTATTATTACATATCAAATATAAGTATGTATATTACCCTTATGATTCTGTTTTTAAATGTTATTTAAGGAAAATTTTTGACGATGTCGGCAAAGAGTATCTATTTCATTTCTTTGATTCAGTAATTTTTTATTTTTTATAAATTTAGTAATATATAGTTTCTCATGTCTGCATAAGGGACATGGGTCATTTAATGACCTACATATTCTAGCTTTATATATATATATATATATATATTACTAAATATACATAATATCCCACGACAGATGGTGAACACCTAACGGATAGTGAATATTTTGCACCTGAAGATTGCGTGTTTATATGAAACTCCGATTCATACTATCGACGTGGAGTATTATGAATATTCACTAATATATACCGTAATTCCCCATCTATAATATGCCTTCATCCATAATACGCACCCCTAAAATTGTGCTGAAAGTGTGAGAAAATGCTTCTACTCACGCATAATACGAACCTCTTCTTTGATAATCAAACCCTATAAATAGTACCGCTCCAATTTCATTATGGCCAGTGTTTCCTACTCTTATTTTAAAAAATGGGTTTTAACATAGAATGATATTATTCTAATCTAGATTTATTCATATTTTATTTCACATTTGTAAATATTGTTAGGTACATAATGTTTGACATCCTTATGGGGTCGCATTCGCCGAATGTTAGTGTCAAATTGTCGTATGTTTGTGGTGAGTAGTCATTTCGCAAATGAAATCGGTCTATGAAACGGCAATTTTTTTTTGCTTAATACGCACCCCTCATTTTTCTTATTATTTCTTAGACAAAATGCGTGTTATACTTGGGGAATAACGGTATTTAATAGCTCTATTATATAACATTGAGCACTGTTTTATAGCACCTGCGAAAAATATATATAAACGTGCAAATATATGTTCATATACGAATGTTTTATAATACCCATATATATATATATATATATATATATATATGTGTGTGTGTGTGTGTGTGTGTGTGTGTGTGTGTGTGTGTGTGTGTGTGTGTATATATATGTGTGTAAAAATATATAGAAAATAGGAAAGAACTCGTTAGGTAAATAATCCAAAGTTCTTTAGTATTTTTGTTATTATTTATAAAAAATAGTGCTCGATAGAAAAGTAGAGCATAAATATAATTATTTATTTAAAAATATGATTCCAACACTACATAAGAGTTCTCATGTTTCAAAACAAGAGCCGAAAAACTTCAATATAGTTATTTGAATTAAATTGAATTAAAGTACTATAATAATAATTATATTGAAATTTTCGACTCTTGTTTTGAAACATGAGAACTCTTATGTAGCGTTGAATCAGATTTGTAAATAAATAATATATATATATATATATATATATATATATATATATATATATATATTCCGCGACCGTTATCGTCGCATAGAAAACTTCTGTGTAAATATAACAAGATATCATCTTTGATGATGAATATCTTTGTTGAAATGTCCATCTAACCACTCTGATGATGGCTCACGTGAGCCAAAACCTTAGATCGAGGAACAGCATTTAAAAAATCGAAATATTGGACAGTTTTGTCTTGATTTTCTTCCAAAATCAAAGCAACTAGAACGGCTCATGATCAAACATAATAGAGTCGCTGTCTGTTATATTTAACAATATACGTTTGATATATATATATATATATATATATATATATATATATATATATATATATATATATATATATATACTGCTCCATAGCCTTTGCTCAGGTCCGGTTTATTTTCTCAAACAAGAGCTTATTTTCTCAAGTATGAGTTATTAAAACATAATCTTTCCCAATCTTCCAGGCCCCTATGTAAGACCAACGTTGAGTATGAATATACTTGCCTACTCGGATAATAGGATACACCATAATAGTAGGCTGCTACTCAAAAACAATACAAAAATACTAACCAAATCAAATAGTAAAAATACACTAATGATCCTTGAAGCGTACAAAAAACACCTATAAATAAAAACAATTTAAGAACATCCTAAAATGTATATAAATAAAATAAATAAATAAAAGTAAAAATTAAATAAAAACAAACACACCTTACCACATCACGAGACTCTGTCTACGTTACAGCACTCGGCATTTGTTTCTACCTACCCTGGTGACCACTTAAGATATTCGAAAGCTTCGACTATATTTCTTTGTCTAAGAAGCATTATTCGTAATTTATAAATGTCTGTTGTGTTTAACAATATTTGTCTTAACATTTAAAAAGCACAGTATATATATATATATATATATTATAAATATTTTTTACAAAATACAAACAATTATTAATTATTTTTTACAAATATGTTTCCATCGCGACACAGAAATTACTATGTTTCGAAACCGAGGCTCAAATCTTAAAATTTTGACTTTAAAGTTAAAATTGAGCTTGGTTCCATTCTCAAGCGAGAACTTACTTCCTATTATTTGAATATATATATATATATATATATATATATATATATATATATATATATATATATATATATATATTTTTTTACCTCTAAATCCTTGTATTTACATTACTTACCTCTAAGGTTTCCTTCGGAATAGTGTTGTAACCTCACATGTTATTGACAAAATACCCATGTTGTCTTTGCATCGCCTACATTATTTCGTATACAAATTTCGTATACACATTCACACACAAAATGTACTACCACGCTCACATACCTAAACAACATACTGGCACACACACACACATGTATTTTTCATTCGGTCACGAATTAATTATTTTTGAACGGAATAGGTTTTTTTTTCTCCGAATATTTCATCTTGCTTGTTTATCTGTTCCAATAGACAATGAAATAAACTGAAATATATCGTCCGATTTGTTTTGTTTCATGTTTGCTTGTTTTATTTATTTTTTTGTCTATGGTCATATGATTTCCGTCTATGGGCTCAGAAGAAAGAGTGACGAAATACCGTAATGTAGATTAGGTTGGGGTCAATAACTGACGGGCTCAAATTTTCTTAAAAGTTACCTATTGCATAATACGAGATCTCGAATAGGCGAGACTACAAAACGATATTGTAGGACCTAAATTCTACAGTGGATGAAAACCAATTACCATATTATCGTGAATTAACTACGTCCTCACTGGATAACAAATATTAAAATATTTCTACTCTATATTTTTATGTGGTAGTTATAGATTTTTGTGCAAGTTAAACACAATGCAGGCTCTAGATTTAAGACTTACAATAATCGTTTCTGATTGGTCAATATATCTCAAAGTCGTAACAACACCTACGCACAAGTGTTTAAACCCAAAAGACCGCCAAAATCTTGAAACGTGTTCTCGAGCCTACCACGTGGTTCACATGACTTATAAATACTTGGCGACATCTTCTCTCGATCTCTTTTATTCTCACTTACAAGAATTTGCGTTTTTCCCTTTGATAAACGCTATAACACACACGCACGTACCTACCTACGAACGAACATTCACTCCTACAATCACAAGGGCAGAATCTCTTAACCTAATATTTTGAGTCACCCACGGACACGTTTTTTCGCACTATTTTTAAACTGTTTCTCTTACAAGTAACACTACATCTTACTAAAATTCTTCAAACTCACACACCTTTTAATACACTTCACAGTTTATCAACAAGAAAATTTTCCTCACACAAAATTCCAAGGACAAGTAAATTTCAGCATTTGAAACACAACTGAATTCCTGTTTTACTAAATGCTCTGTTTATAATAAACATTATTAAACAACATTTACCGGCCTGAATGTCCGAGAAATTTTCACAGAAAATATTCATCCTCTGACAGGATTCGAACCTGTATCCTATACGGAACCGTCGGAGGACGAATATTTTCTGTGAAAATTTGTCGGACATCCAGGCCGGTAAATGTTGTTTAATACTGTTTATTATAAACAGAGCATTTACTTAAATATTTGTATCTATAAAAAGAATGTTAAACATAAGAATGTCTTAAAATAATTGTTGGACTTTATCCATTTCATAATGTGTGACGTCATTTGTTTACATTTGATACGCCATGAGCAGATATGAATGTACGTGAAAGATTCTTGGAAGTTTGAAGTTTAAATACAGTAAATTCGACCTTGCTAACCGAACACTCTTTCGTGGCCAAATCGGTAAAAGCACATCAAGCTAAATGACTGTTCCGTATAGGATACAGGTTCGAATTCTGTCCGAGGACGAACATTTTCTATGAAAATTTCTCGGACATTCAGTCTTTGTCCATTTCATAAGTTGTTATGCATATATATAAATTCTATTTACTTGTGCAACTTCTCTTGTTGAATGTATTTCTTCTTGTTGTTTATTTGTTGCCACACTTGTTGAGAGTAAAAATAATAGGGGTGAACTGAGGCCGTTCGATCTTCTGCAATATCTAAATGTGACATGTAAACGGTCCTATTGGCCGTCTTCAAGTTGGCGCGAATAGAGGTTTGCAATAAAAATGTATTAAGCAAAACGAACTGCATCATGTTATCGATAATACAAGATAATCGATAATACGATATTACCTTATAGTAAATATACGCCAGTAAAGCAAAAGAATTACTATTTGAAATGTTTTAATAAAAGTAGCAAAATTATAACGAATCCAAAAAGAAAAAATACCCATTTACCATAACAATACTGCGTCTCCCCAAATCAAAAATCCACTAAATATTTAGTTAATTTGGCAATTAATACATCAATTCAATCCATAGCTAGTAAAAGTCGTGATGGTGTTTCTGGTAGTATAGCGAATATTGGCACGCAATGTTAAATAGACGTGTTCAATTAATACCCTTGAGAAGGGCATAACTCCATTTATTTTTCCTCCATCTATCAGTTAAGTAGCATGTTAGACTGGGCGCTCTAGCCTTTGCTGACAGCCAGGTTAGGAGAAGAACAACACTGACTTTAAAACGAGAAACAATTCCACTATGTTTCTCAATAAGCCATGTCAATTTCCGTATATAAAGAAAAGAATCATTGTCTATGTCTTAAAGGGACAGTGGCATTTTAAAAAGATATGCAGAAGTGTAGATAGGTTCGCCTATCGTCCGGTTCACACTCCTCCCTGGTCTATTGAACACGAGGATAAGTTTATCCCTTGTTTCCTGTTGAGGATTGGATTTCCTATTGCTTCTAACTTTTTCATTTCTCTTTCTCTCCCAGTAGATGTTGCATCTTAATGGCATTATCCCTTTGTTTGGGATGAATTAATTAAAAAAAATATAAAGAAGAGGCGTTGTTTCCCTTGTACAAGATATTTTCCGGGGTTGTTCAATAATCTTAAAAGCATTAATACGAAAAAACAAAAAAGCACAATGATTCATTTATTATTGGCTTTATTATTTATTTTATTTCAATGGTTCAGAATATAATGTCTTAAAATGGACAAACATTTTTTTATTCAAAAGATAAACGATAAAATGTTATGATTTCTTACAATCGATTAAGCTGATCCAGTTGCTCCAGATAAGTAATTTATATATATATATATATATATATATATATATATATATATAAACGTGTTTTTTTCAGGTTCTGTTAGGCGGTCGGCAGCTTATAATCTACGCTGAACTGTACACCCGTTCCTGCGATAATAACGTCATTTGCTGCAAATAAAGAAAATGGTAAATATATTTCAGATGAAGAATTATTTTTGGTAATATTATACAAGTGTGGACTGCAAAGTTCTCGGCCTGACCAAGAAGCACTAAACACTTCCTCTCCGCAAAAAAGGCATCTGAAATTTAAGCAAACGGGTTGGGCCTTTATCACTCTTTCGAGAGGCTTTTTTTTGTTTTATTAAATCTCTCGAATGACAAGTACTGCTTAAAATAGAATTTAAAAAAAATAACAAGGCATCTATTAAAACATGGATAACCTCTAAAATAGTGTGTAGAGTAACAGGGATAAAGTCGGATTAAAAGTAAAATCCATTAATCCATTCATATATATATATATATATATATATATATATATATATATATATATATATATATATACATTTTCTGAGAGGATGAATGAATTTAAGTTACACCGGTTGTGGTTTTGTTTTTCTCGTCCATATTTCATTCTCTGATGAAGATTTAATAAAAGGGAAACATGATAAATTTTGTAAGGATTCTTATTTGTTCCTTATATATATATATATATATATATATATATATATATTAGGTATTTCCACTTTCTTTTCCGGCATAAATTTTCGATACCTAATGTTTAAAATGATTTTTTAAAAATGAAAACGCATTCTTGATGATTTCATTTTAGCTTTAATTGAAAGCTAAAGGATTAAATTTATTATTTTTTACTAAGTAAATCATCCTGGTGTATTTCAGGTAGAAATTATATAGATTGGAATATCAAATTTAATTTCGATTACTTAAAATTTTCTTAAAAGCGGCTATTTTCTATAAATTTGTAAACAAAAAAATTTATCGATTTTAAAACTCTTCCAATATATATATATATATATATATATATATATATATATATATTACTGACACGCTATTTGAGTAACATTAGAAAATTTTAAGTTAAATTAATCTGATTTGAAATAAATGTTATTTACTTATAGCATGAAAAAGTATTAGGTTGGTGCAAAAATAATGACGTAATAATGTCGTTTTTTTACGTTAAAAAATACGTCAAAAAACGACATTATTACGTCATTATGTTTGCACCAACCTAATAATATAGAACTATTTGTTAATGCTTGGTTTTGATTGATCGAAGACGATGATTGATTGACGATTGAGTGACGAAACGATGACAGCAAGTATGCCTGACTAGAATTGACATAAAATTTACGAAATTTTAACTACCTAGTAATTTTTACAAATGAACTTATTTTCCGCAGTTATCTAATAATTTATTGACTTTTATTGACATTTCGAAGATATTTTATGCAAAAATAAAAAAAAAATTAAATACTATAAAATTTTCTTAAATTAATTTCCCTATAAATAGACAAAACACTTAGATCACGTCACCTTTTCATAATAATGTCACGTTTATATCTTTCATAGATGAAAAAAGGGAACAAATCAAGCAAAAAATAAAAAAATAAAAATTTATTTTAAAAATAGAACACTGAAACTACGTTTATTAATCTTTTCAATTTTGGATTCGTAAATTTCGTTTCGACTTAATTACTATATCGCATCCAAGAAATAGCCCAATACAGAACTTTACACAATTTTAAACTATTATAAATTAATATAATTAAAAATTTTAAAAATAAATGTAAAACATTCTTGTAGAAATTCATTATTCATCGGAAAATGTTATTTCTTCATCAATGGCGTCCTTAATATAACTTATTTACAAAACAATTAAAAACATTTGTAATTAAATAATGTCATTGTTTTAGTGTATTCATTATTTTTCAATTCAGAACAGATTTTCAGTTATAATAGTGCAAGTTTGAAAAAAAAATTAAGTGATTTACATTCTCCAAAGACACGTGTCACATATATTAAATACGTAGATAATTCTATGTGTATGTAGGTTTGTGAAGATTCTTGTATGTCTAAGTGGGCATCGGATGGCAATATGCATTTGTAATTGTGTATACGTGTTTGCCTTGCGGAAGTTTCACATTCATTTTGTGCGGTCAACAATGTTCTAATTTATGGCTGACCTTTTTAAGAATGTATTCTTTGTATTAGATTGGTATAAGCTCGATTCTTTAAGAATGGATTCAAAGAATGATGGCGATGTAATGTAATGTTTTAGGCGTGTTTTTATAGTTGGTAATAATGTTGTTATTAAGTTTTCAATGTATTTTCTCGTTAAAGAATTATGTCCTTTTATTGTTTGGTTTATGCTTAGCTATAAACGCGGCTAATATTTACTTATACACTGAAGTCAATCAACTCAATCAATTTTTCCTTATAGACTTAAGTATAATAAAAACAGATAACGGCATTAAATAAACCAATATAATGGTTAATATTTTGTAAAATCTACCAGCCCAGCTCCAAGCCCACGTCTATAGACTCACCAATATTTGGAATCGTGTCAATTAGTCTCTCTCCATTGATAGCTATCAATTCAATATGCAAAGGAAGTGTTACCGGCCGCTCCCACTTCTGCCCACGTCTCATAACCCAAAATCCGTCTTTTGTTGCTTGCAGAGCGAGCCAAATCTGTCTTCGCTTTTGATAAAGTTTCACTTGATAACAAGGAATTCTGGAAAAGATGGAAAAATATGTACATTACAGGATAATTTATCTTTGATCCCTGATGAAAATCATGCTGGGATTTTTGCAACAAGAAATCATGAAAAACAAAATAATGCTAGAAGGTAGTATGAGATTTACCAATGACCGCCCTCCCCCCAGCCAGCACACACACACACACACGCACACACACGCGCACACACACACACACACACGCACGCACGCACGCACACACACACACACACACACACACACACACACACACACACTGAAACGTGATGTGACACAAGGTCGGGTTTACTGTGGGGAGACCGAACATGTACACCCGGGCCAAGAGCAAAAAATTGCCCAGCCTCCGAAACCGTCGGTTGTGCTTACCTCAGTAACGACTATCGATCCCCACACTCTCTAGAGGGGGTTGCAGCCTTGCACACCTGTTCCCCAGGACCAGGCACCACGCAGTATTTATTTTCCATATTTGCATCTCTGTTCGCGGACGAGGCCACATCTGAGTTGCACTCTGCTCGAAGACAGAGACGCAACTGAGAGGTGATGAACCCTACTCAGTATGTAGGCAAAATGGGTTTACAACTATATCACGTTGAAACAACGGTTCTCATCCGATCACCTAAGTTAAGCAACATCGAGCCTGGTCAATATTTGTTTGCTTGTTTAGCGCCATATCAATTCCTTAGGGTCATTTAATGTCGGAATTTAATTTTCTTGGGAGCATTAATAATTTCATTTACAAAAATGTATTACTGGTAATTTTTTTTACTATGTAAATTCACTATAATTTTTTTATACTTTCATAGTGTTTTGACCCCATTTCAAAAGTTAGCTATTTGCCCATAGCTGGGAAAACAGGCACTATCACTCAGAGTAAGGTTGATCCTGTTCAGTCAATAGAGAATACCAGCAACTATAAGTTTCATTGTGTGATGTGCGGGTGAGGTAATGGATAGCGAGTGGGAATGAGAAATTGGAGAGTCGAGTTCAAGTTCCGGTTCCGGTTTGAGTTCGTTACATCCCCTTACGCGCAGATGCCTTTGTGCCATCATGACTCGAAAAGAAACATGATCGCCCAAGCGTGTCACATCCGCCACTGCCAATAAGCATTAGACCAGCGCGGTTAGGTGAGGTAATGGCCCATTCCTTCAACGATCAGGAGATGACCTGCATCCAACAAACAGACTGTTACAGGCTGATGCACGATATGAAACGATATCGAAATTAGGTTTCTTGCTGTGGCGATATTTCACATTCCGTTTCTTGTTGAACGGACACAGGACCTTTCCCGTTTTTTTGGTTCACGCCAACGCAAACGAAAATCCAGCCAGAGAAAAACCAGTCGGAGAAAAACTACCGGTTGTACAGTGTAATCCGGATATAAGAGAGTTGTCGGGACCGGAGAAGAAGTCTCTTATATCCAGGTTTCTCTTATATCCGGGTTTGGTCTATTTTATATACATTAACACAGGCTCTAATTTGGGACCAGAGAAAATCTCTCTTATATCCGGGTTTCTCTTATATCCGGATCTCTTATATCCGGGTTACACTGTATATTTACAACATAAACAACAACAACAACAAGATGTAATCTTCCATCTGATAAAATGGCGTATTCTTTGACTTGACTTGAAAGCAAGAATAAAAAAAAGTTCTTATTACTGCTAATGACCTGAAGAATAAATTCTATAGCAGATTTTTTAATACAGAATCACAAGGGATATAAAATAAGAAACTAACCTTAAATTCCTTACTTGCAACTTGATATAATACTGGTTCGAACCTTGGAACTTATATTCCAATTTATAATTTCCAACCGGACATTGTACGGCTTGAATAGCCACTAACCAGCGACCATCTTTGGTTTCAGCTAAATCAATATCACCTATCAGAAGAAAAATGAATTACTGTCTGATGCAAAAATTATCTTTTCTTTTAAGAATTGAAAATAGGATATTTTTTGAATCCTACATACACATTTGTTTCCTACATTATCAAACGTAAGGGGAAAAAGCAAACACAGAAGAAGGGACGCCATTTATTGTTCTGTTATAAAATTTAAAATAAAAATATATATATATATATATATATATATATATATAATAAGAAATTTGACTAAAAACTCATAAAACAAGATATTTCAATCTTTTGAGTAAAAACATTCTGAATGTCTTGTATCATATCGAGAAAAAAGTCAGGACAATGCCTTAATAATTTAGGATACAAATTTAGTGGTAGGATCCCCACTAAAGCAGAAGTGATTGATAAAATATATTTACAATGCCCTAATAATGTAGGATACAAATGTGGTCGTAGGAAACACAGTAAAACAGAAACTGATCGGTAGGACACACGCTAAAGCGGCACACATTTTTTTTTTTTTTTTTGGAATTTTGACATTCTTCTTTTATCTGCAGTTTTCCATTCAAATATATACACTTTCTTTTCATCTCAATTCATATTAACTAAAAATTACATAGATAGATAGATAGATAGATAGATAGATAGATAGATAGATATACTTGGGCAGCAACCTTTCTTTTAAACATCTTTCATTAAATATGGCGGACAAAATTTTATTTTTTTATTTAGTTTTTCCAGCGTTCTTACATTTTTCGGTTTGGTGGCAGCGAGCGAATACAAAAACTGTCCATATCGTCGATTTTCCTAACAGCTTTCGGCCACTCTTTCAGCCATTTTCAATGGGGGTTGATTTTAATGTAGTTAGTTTATTTAGTCTACGTGAATGTGAATTATAGTCGCAGCGATTCCGAGCCATCATGTGCTGGACATGGCTGGAATTCGAGTGAGTGACTTTATATTTGTCTGTTACCCTTGTTAAAGAGGGTAAGATTGATGGTGGAGAAAAGCTGTTTGATGTACAAGGCCTCACTTATAACGAGGTGTTTTCTGGAATTTGATTTACAAATTGCTTTAGTGTTATCGACTAATATCTTTCTTAACGGCGCTTGTAGATTATGGGTTGATAAATCTTTTTTAAAGAGCTTTGTTATGATAAGTAACATGTGAGATGTCTTTTCAAGGAGGGAGTTGTATGTCCGATATAGGTAACTGATTTACACCAAACGGGAAAATGTAAAAATGCTGAAAAAATAAACTAAATAAAAAACTAATAAAATTTTTCTTGTCCGTCATATATATATATATATATATATATATATATTACGACGTCTCATTAAAGAATTTAAACAATTTTCGTCTACTTATTATTGATAGGACCCTCTCATATTTACGAACGAATTTCTTAGTAAAGGAAGAAAGAAAATAACCATGTTCGTGTATATCCGTTTATACATTTTAATTTTCAAATGAACGCAGCAATTTTTTCTTAGAAAAATACAAGACTCTGAAGATGAGTAAAAATAAACAGATAATCATCGCAATTTTGACATAACAAAAACAAGACACTGAAGATAACATCGCTAAAAATTTAAAATACTCGGGAATAAAATGGATATAGATCAATATGCTAAGTTTCTTTCTTCCTTAGATAAATAAAGATACAAAGAAATTTGTAAATATGAAAGGATCCTATTAAGAATAAATCGACAAAACTTATCTAAATTATTTAATGAGGAATGTCTTAATGAAAACATGCTGCCAAAATATACGCAATATATATATATATATATATATATATATATATATATATATTATAAATTAATTGATTTAAAATATGTTTTTAAATCAATTAATTTATAATAATAATGCTCTGTAAATTTATATTGAGCGCTATTTTGTAAAAAATAAAATATATATAAGAACACCGGATTATATAACTTGCTGTTCTTTCTTTTTATATATATATATACATATATATATATATATATATATATATATATATATATATATATATATATATATATATATATAGGTTATGTCTATTTATTTTAGTTTTAATCGTTTCAAGTCAACGAATTAATTTCTTGGTTGGCTGTAGAAAATTGATTAAGAAAAATTCCCAAATTTTCTTTCAAATAACTTTTTTTTTCCCTAATACTTTCAATCTCATCTGAGGCCATCTTCAGGGGTTGCATACATATATATATATGGATGTGTTATGCGTTAACACCGTAAATTAAAAGTTTTTTTTGTTTTTTCGTTTTTTTACCTATATGCATGGGAGGTAACTTATGTAATATTTTTAAAAGATTTTTTTTTAATTTTTAAAGATTTTTAGTTGTAGTAATTTAATTTAGCATTTTTTTATATAACACTTTGCTTCTACAATCATTTAAGAACTTTGTTGCTCTACTCGTAGTTGACTTTATTTATTTTTGATCGAAATTCTTTTTATAAACGTCATCCAGAGTTATAAGTTTTTGTTTATTATTACGTTGATTGAACACTAACGCATTCTTGATATATCTATGTCAGCAGTGAATGTGGACAAACATGCTTGATTAAAATATGATGCCTATATATATATATATATATATAGATAGATAGATAGATAGATACATACATACATACATACATACATACATACATACATACAAACAAAAATATATATATATATGATATTGATACCCTTTCGTTTGTCCTTGTTTTATGAACTAACCTATTTTTTTTTTTATATATATATATATATATATATATATATATATATATATATATATATACATGATATCAATTGATAATTGGTATGGATATTTGTATACAAAAGATTCATTTCTTCAGTACAAAATTTTTTTTAATAAAATAAATTTTTTTATTAAAACCTTCGCTCTGAAGAGATGAATATTTGAATATATTAACGAAATAAATTAGAACCGAATGGATTTTTTAAGGCTCGTCTGTATTATATATATATATATATATATATATATATATATATATATATATATATTGCTCTGGAATTTACATTGAGGTCTCTTTAAATCAATGTCCTCCTTGGAATTATCCCTACCAATTATCAATTGATATTACACACACACACACACACACACACACAAATAAATATATATATATATATATATATATATATATATATATATATATATATAATTATTTTATAAAAAATTTATAACATAAGTATGTTATAAAATCACTACAAAAATAGCCATTTTGTTTCAAACACTCTGTGTCTTATCAAGTGATGGTGTTGAAAAAGAAAATAAATGGTTTTAAAAAGTTTCAGATTAATTAACGATCCTACACTAGGGGAGCATTGTTACAAAAAGCTAGAATAACCAATCAAAAACGAAGTACAGAAAGATTCAAAAGCTTGACAAAAAAATCCTGCTATTATAGCTATTTAGATCTTTAAATACGTGTAATATTAAAATAATTTTTACTAACTAATAATTATAAATTTATATGTTAAAATTTAATATTAAAATTAAAAACTGGCAATTTTAAAAATCCAAATTTAATCACTATTAAGTTTAAAACTACAAAATTATTGAAAAAGAAAAAAATATATGTTTATTCAATTCATTTCTTCATTGAAATTACGTCTGACAAGACAAAAGCTACAATTCGTCCGGTCATCTGATAATACATGTATATATTTTTTTTCTTTTCCGTTTTATTTTAAAGTTTGTGAATATGGTCTTAAACTCACGCGTGACACAACAAAAACACAATCAGATTATAATACATACGCATCCAGACATAATTAGATACATACACACACACACACACACACACAAATATACACACACACTTGAAAAAAAAAAAAAAAGGAAGAGGTGGGGAATACATGAACAACTCCACAGCCCTTTATGAAAAAAAGGAGACGTGGAAACTAACACTTATATACACACACAGTTAAATGTGAATACACTCTACATACACATAGACACCGATATATACACAAACATACATCCACAATGGCATAGACATTGAGAAATCACAACCAGTAAATATTTCAGACTTAAATAAATGCTAACCACTTATTGAATTATAACTTAAGGGAGCAAATATATAAAGATAAAAATGTTTAAAAAATATTATTTAATATATTAAAACGAAAACACTAAAACAATAAATATCAATAAAAAATATATATATTATTAATCATATAAGTTGATAATAGTTTCATTATATATTTGGCAAAGAAAAACAGGATAAAAGAAATCCAAAAATATATATATATATATATATATATATATACACGGCAGCAAAAACAAATTAACACATAAAAAAAAAAAAAAAATATATATATTCTTTACATACATATACGTACAGAAATACACACGAATAAATATATAAACATAAACATATACGTACATATACATATCTATGATAACAAGTACATATGTACGTACATATACATATAAACCTAAATACACACATATATACACACAGACTTTTATGCACACATACTTAGATATATAAAAAACAGTCATGATATACCAAAGTTTCCCATACCTACACATACACACAAACTCATACATAATAGGTTCCAACACACACCTATATATATATACATACACAAACATACATAAATATATATACACACATACATACATATCTACAAATAAACATATATATATATCCATAAATATATCTCTGCAATAACAACCACCCATATATACATGCATACATAAAAATACAACAACTTTCAACCGAATACATATATAAACGAACTAACATATAGATACATAAATATACCTTCAAACACCAACACACAGCAATATACATATAGTCTAACATACAAATATATAAACACATTCATACAAACAGAAATATACTTAAATATAAATACACATACACAATAAAATAGGACATACAGATATATACATATATATATATACATATACATACCCCACACATACACCCTCATAAAAAAAAAACAAACCATAAATACATTTATACACCAACCTACATTCCTCAGTGCAAATACTCTAACCAACATATAAATAAATATATATATTTACACCAACACTGATAACACTATGCAGGTAAACAATACACACTTATATCAATGAAATATGACCATTATGCAATTTATATGTGAGGGTGTATGTGTGGGGTATGTATGTATGTATATATGTGAGTGTGTGTATATATATATATATATTATGTGGGAAGGTAAAAGGTAGATTATGAGAGAAAAGGTTAATAATTATTACTGTATATGTGTATGTGTGCCTATATATGTATGTGTGTATGGGGTGTGTGTATATATGTATGTATTTGTGTGTGTATGTGTGTATATGTATGTATGTATGTATGTATGTATATATATATATATGTATGTTTACATATATATATGTATATATATATATATGTGTATGTGTGTATATGGTTGATATATATATATATATATATGTATATATATATATGTATGTGTGTATATGTATGTGTGTGTGTGTGTGTATGTGTATGAGTATGTACAGGTATGTATATGATTAAATCACGACAGTATAATGGTTGGGCCAGCATGACCACTAGATTGGGTGCGACTGAGTAATGAGTTCGTTCCTCACTGGATGCCCCCTTGATTTCAGCTTTGTGCCACAATATATTTGTATATATATGTATGTGTATGTGTGTATGTATGTGTGTATATATATATATG